TTTTGAATAATATTGCATGATAAGCCTGGTTTTAAAATCGCTGGGCACTATGTTGCAGCTGACCTTGAACTTTCCAAGTCTGTTGACACTACTTTATTTTCCGCCTCTTCCTCCTTTCATTTTAGTATTTTTCTGCTGTTCCTTGTACCTTCCATCTCTGCAACTTTATCTGTTGTTTCTGTAAACATTATTTTTATGCAGCACAGTTAAACTCTTGCCAATTCTAAAAGGCAAATGTAGTTCAGTGCCTCTGGTCATGTGTTCAAGAGTCATTTACTTAGAAACTGTCCCTTGAAAGATCCCTTCTAAGGAGTCCTGGTGGTACAATATTTAAGTGCTTAATTGTTAACCAGAAAGGAGGTGGTTTTTTTATATCCATTCCACCCAACAGTGCTGCAGAAGACATTATGCTGAGTAAAATATCTCAGTCACAAAAGGACGAATACTGCATGGTCCCACTTTTTAGAAAGTGACCGACACCAGGGTTGGGGTAAGACTGAGAAAAACTGGATAGATTATGTGTACTTAATTGAAACAGATGAGGGACAGAATAGTTTAAAAGTGATATATGATAGCATATTATGATTATCACAGGAATCCAGAATTAAGGTTGCATAGTAGAGTGCATTTGGGGTGGGGGGGCAGGGGTAGGGGTAGGGGCATTTTACACCAACGAAGATGTTTATATTTTGCTTTTCAAAGAGAGGAGCGAACTGGGGGAAGGGGGTAAAGAAGAAAATGCAACAATGAATGAATGAAAAACCAAAATCTCTGGGAATGTTCATTAAAATTAATAAAAAGAATTACCTCCTAGAAAGCCCTACTGGGCAGCTGTGCTCTGTCACATGGGGGTAGCCATGAGTTGGAAGAAACTGACAGTAGTTAAAACCAACAGGTGCCAGCCACCTGTATTCTTGGAGTAAGGCAGTCTGTTTCCCTGACCTCTCTGCAGTTGTTGGTGGGAAGGAATACGCTCTATGTTCCTAGGACAGGTAAAAGAATTGTACCCAGAGGAAGAGATGTTGTTGTTGTTATGTGCTGTCGAGTC